TCTCGTGGGTCTCCCCCGTCTCTTGCTCCTCCTCCTCCCATTTCCCTGGCCGGTTTGTCCCCTTCTCCCATTCTCTCTCTGTGTGTGGAAGGGGCCCCTGTGTGGGGTTATCATCTGTCTGTACTCACTTCTTTGGTGATGTCATCCAGCCTCGTGGCTTTAAATACCAACTTTAGGCCATCAACCCCTGAACTGACATCCCCAGACCAGACTTGTCCCCTGAATTCATAAATGCAGCTTTGAGCATTCTACATTTCCACAGGGAGCTGTGTCAGACATTTTCCAACTCCGTGTGCCTGAAACTCAGTGCTTGTCTCCCAAACCAGCTTCTGCCACTTCCCTCTCCATCCACACTCCATCTTTTCAATGACTCAGGCCAGAAACTTTGGTCATCCTGGATCCCTCTTGCCTACACACTTACATCCACTCCACCAGCAAATGTTGGCTGTACCTCTAAAATATTTCCACAATCTCCCTAGATGATCATAGCAGCTTTCCTGGGCTCTCTGACCCTCCCCCAAAATTTGTTCCCCAAAGAGTCATAGAGACACCCACGCATACACACATACACAGGAAGTAAGTGGCCTTGCCACCATCAGGGTGACATCCGCTATAGCTACCTCTCTACTCCCCCACTGTTCCTCAGGACTTCTCTGGACCACAGCCAGATCCCTTCAGCCCCCAGTCCACCATGACCCCTCCAGGCCACATACTGCTTCTGCTTTTGCTCCCAGGTGAAGCCAGGGGCTATGGGGGGGGGTGGCAGGCAAAGGACTTGTGGGAAGGGTGACATCTGAAGGCAGGGTGGTGAGGGCAGGCCCTTCTGCCTGTGCCCTTTCTCTTCTTGGAGATCATTCTGCATCAGGGCTGGGCCTTGGCTGGGAGGGAGGGAGGAGGGGAGCTCCAGAGTGGCCGGTGGCCTGTTAACCTCCCCTTGTCATCGGTAGTCACTGCTTCTACTTCCCATTTTCTGTCTCTCTGTGTCCCCGGGAGCTTCCCTCTTCACTTGGCCCTCTTTCCCATTCTGTCCCTCCAGAGTGGAGGTTCCTTGTCAGGACATCAGTTTCCCCTCAGCCCTGCTCTGGGGCCACCTCACCCACCTCCCCTGTCCTTCCACAGCTGCTGCTGCCCAGATGTCCACAGGTGAGCCATCGCGCCCTACCTTTGACCCTGGAACTTCAGGTACTGCTTCCAGCTCTAAAGCCTGGCCTGAGGGTCCTAGAATGCTCCACCTCCATGGCTCTGTGGTCACCAGCTCACGTCCTCTCCCCAGCTCTCACTCCCCAGAGGATCTGCCACCCTCTCCAGGTCCCATCCTGCCCCCTCACCACCACTCCCTGAGCCCCAGGGAAAAAGAGGACCCCAGCCTCCCTTAGTCCGTGGCCTATGTGCCCACTGCACAGTCTCCCTGGAATCCCGGGACACTGCTGCTGCTAGGGGTCTCCCTCTCTCCTTCTCCATGCACCACCTGGGATCCACGCCCCCTCACGGGGGACTTCCTCTTCTCCCTGTGGCCAAAGCACAGCCCCAGGGAACCAGGATGCCCCCAGCCACTTTCTTGTCTGGGCCCCACCCTCTAGGTTCCTGTTCCGGATGTGGGCCCCTCTCCCCACTTCTCCTGGTGGGCCTGGTGGCTGCAGATGCCATCATGTCACTGATAATTGTGGGGGTGGTGTTGGTGTGTGCCCGCCCACGCCCAGGCCGCAGGCTCAACCATGGTAAGGGCGGGGCCTGGAGGGGCGGTGGCCTCCCAAGAGAGGGGTCCCAAGGAGGGGACCCCGGGGAAGCCCTGGAGGAGGTGCTGGGGAAACCCTGGGGGAGGGGTCTGGGGGAATCCCTGAGGAAACCCCTAAGGCAGGGGGTCTCCAGGAAGGTGGAGATGTGGGGTGGGTGGTGGGTGGTCAGGCTTCATGCTTTCTCTCCCCCACCCCCAGAAAATGACAAAATCTACATCAACGTGCCTGGCAGAGGCTGACCTCCTGTAACTTCAACCTTTGGCTTCTGACCCTCTCATCCTGTGTGTGATGGCACAGGAACATGTACACCACCCCCACCCTTTAGTATTGAATAAAGCGGTTCAAATATCTCTGGTTTGATTCTTCTCCAAAGAACCTTCAGATTCCCCAAAACTCCCCTCACTTAGCTGTTTCTGTGTTCAAGACCCTTCTCAGGACCCCACAAATCCCCAATCCTTTAACCCAAGGGTCCGGCATAACTCAACAATATTTTTGCGCTCTATTGTTTATTGGGGAACATTAGTGGGGAGAGGTCTAAAATCCCAGGGAGGACTCTCCATGGAACTGTTTCCTAGTAGGAGTAGGAATGATGAGCTGGGTGGGCAACAGAGGTGACTGGATCCAGATATGGGTCGTTGATTAGGTTCATTTGTAATACTGCCTCTGTGTGTTGAGGTCACTGTAGACATCTGACCTCTGACCCTGGAGCTCCTAAAAGGAATGAAGGACATTAGTGGAAGGGGTTCACCAAATAAATTTCAATCAAAATCCAGACTTCTCTTAATGGTCTTCAAGTCCTCTGCCCGCCCCCCACCACCCCCAAAACTTCTTCAAACATGGCGGTGGAAGAGATCTGGATTTTATTCATCTGAATTCAGCATCCACCTTTCCTTGACTCACCATTATGCCCAGCCAGCCCCAGGGCCTTTGCATGTGCTATGATGCCCTCTGCCTGGAACACCAGTCCTGTAGACCTTCAGTCTCTTTCTCCCTCTTCAAGTCTCAGCTCTCAATTTCCCCATCTATAGTTTCTTTCTCCCAAACCTCACTCGCTATCACACAGCCTGCTCTATTTTCTTCATGGTGCCTCTCCAAAATGATTTTGTTAATTTGCTTCAAGTCCATCTCCCCAGCTAGGATGTAAATTCTGCTATATGTGTAGGTGCTCAACAAATCCACTGAAGGAATAAATAGACCAGGGTAACGCTTTGCCTCAAATTTCACTGCTATCAATAACAGGAAAGCTTTCTCAGTCTTCAGGACCTCACAGAACCAATTTGAGATTTTTACACTTTGCAAAGAAACATTCAATCTACAAGTGAAGCAAGCCAACAAAGCTGATTACGGATAATAAATTGGCTCACAAATAAGAGGTGTCTGTGGTCCCAGGGGGCAGGCCTTAGGTAGAATCCCTGAACTCATTTACCAATAACCCGCCTCCTGAGTGCATCTTTCTAAGGACAGGAAGGTCTCAGGATCTCATGACCCCCCTAAAGGATTAAGAAGGAGCCTTAGCAGAAGGAGAAGTAGAGAGATACCTCTGTCTACATCACTTGAAGGGCCTCTGGGTTATACGCATGGCTTTGTATTTTTGTGGGTGGATTTTTCTGAAGAGTCTCTAGCTTTGATTACTTCTCAAAAGAATTTAGGGTTCCCATTCCTCAAATTCTAAGATTCCTCTCTTTTGAGTCACTAAACTAGGGCTGAATTCCATTCTTTGTCCTACTGAGGGCTTCTTCTAGCCCTCTCCTAGGGCTAAGCTTTTTTCCAGAACAATTTGGGGCCTCATAAGGCTTGTTTTTGATCTTACAAAGGCAAGACACCCCTTTATTTCTGCTCCACACATTTTAAGCTAAGCTTAAGGTTGCAGTTTATCACCGAGTGTGCTTTTGGACAGATGTCCCGTTTGCCTTCTAGTTATGGGGCAGCACCTGGGAAAGGGGTATTGGGGTCCTCAGGGGGACATGGGGGTGTCCATCATCCAGATGCCCACAGGAATGGGCAGGAGAAAGATGTGGGAATGAATCTGGTTTTCTTACCTGATAAGGTGACTCCATCTCAGTGATGTGCTGTTTCTGGGTCCCTGCAGAGGGACAAAGGGGTGACACAGGGTGCAAAGATGGACAGGATAGTAAACTAGGACCATTTTTTGGTTTCTGTTTTTGATAATGGGAATTAAATCCAGGGTTGCTTTCCCATGGAACTACATCCCCAGCCCTTTTTTATTTTTTATTTTGAGACAGTGTCTTGCTAAGTGGCCTGGGCTGGCCTTGAATTTGCCATCCGCCTGCTTCAGCCCCCAAGTCACTGAGCTTACAGGTGTGCACCACCACACCCAGCCATATTGCTGTCTTAAAATCAGCCCTTCTACCCCCAGCCCTTTGGATGTTTGTGACCTGGGAGCTTACACCCCACCACCAGTGTCACCCTTACAGGGTCCCAGACCATCTCTTGCCAGCCCCACTCACCTGCTGCAGTTCCTCGTCCCCGAGGGACAAGCCGACCTAGTGAGTACACGGCCAGGGCGATGAGCAGGGTCAGCACCAGGTCCCCCAGCACGATCCCCGCCAGCACTCCGGCGCTCACTGGGGAGCAGTTGCATTCTGGGAATATGGCACATGGGTGAGGGGAGGTCTATGTGCTTTGGGAATTAGGGGGTGGGTGTCAGCAGGGGGGAGTTTGAATGGATTGGGGAAGGGTCTTTGGGAGGGAGGGAGAGGGACCGCAGGGTCTAGGCCTACCATTCTGAGCCTGGACAGGACTGAGACCTGAGAAGGGAAAAAGAGGTAAACTGAGGCACAGGGTTATGGCTGGTAGTGGGCCTTAGAAGCCAGAAAAAGCAGAAAGTAGTATCTGGTGGGACCTGGGAGGGGACTAGCGCCAAGGCTTAGATGCCATGTGACTTCTCTGCCCGTTTGTCCTGTTGCAACACCCTTAGATGATCCCCTCCCCCCACCCCAGCCAAATCTTGGGGGCTCAGATTTGGAGACCCAGAGGCTCCACGGGGACCTGCTTCCACCCAACCTCCCTTCTGGTTCTCACCAGAACCACGCTGCCCTGCCGCTAGCTGAACCCGGGGCCTCAGGACACAGCTGCAGAAGCCCCCAACTCACCAGCCACAGTCAGGAGGAGAAGGACCAGGAGCCGCCACGAGGGATCCAGGTCCCCCATGACTCCTGGACACTGCCGGACACCGCAGTCCAGGGGCCAGTGGGATGCGCCGTGGCTTCCAACCAAGTGAAGGAGGAAGTCTGAGGTGGGTGGTGCAGCGGGAGGAGGGGACAATAGGGGAGGAGGAAGGACAGACAGAGATAACACCAGAAAGAATCAGGCCCAGGGCCTGCGCAGCACGCAGTACCTAACAGCTGCACATGAAGGGCGAAGGGTTCGTGAGTCAGCTCTTGACCCCCATCACCAGTCAGGGGTCAGCAGCCTTGTATCGGGGGGTCACTCCTGAGTATAAGTGAAGCCAGTCCTGCCTCTTCCTGGCCGGGCAGCCTTGAGCATCATCAGCCTCTAGGCCTCACTTGTAAGACTAGGAGGAAAACAGTGCCTAACTGTGGGGTTGTTGTAGGGGACTCAATGAATTAACGTTCTTAGAACAGGGTCTGGCACCTGTCAGCTATAATTATTTGATAATCAGACCCCTTTGGAGGGGGATGTCCTGGGGACCAATTCCAGGATCCCGTGCGTTCTAGGCAAGCTCTCCACCACGGGGCTACCTCCCCAGCCCTGGTAATCAGACTCTTGTGCTGTGCATAGAATATTGAGAGCCTCAGCATCTAGGCACCATGACATATGGTACTCTGTCCCAAGTGTTAAATCATTTAATCCCCACAAACTTCCTCTGAGGTCGATGCTCTTATTCCCATTTTACAGAGAGGTAAAGACGCTTGCCTAAGTTCACACGGTAAATAAAAGTGAAAACCGAACGCACCACGGTGATGTTAAGTCTTAGGGGAAAGAAAAAAGAGACGAAAGATGGAGAAGGAAAAAAAAATGATGGCAAAGAAGAGAGAGAAAGTAAGAATTAGTGTCACAGAAACCACACCACAGAGACAGGATTGGGTTTAGGTGAGATGGGGGAGGGCAACTCGGTGACCACTGAGCAGGGCTGGGCTGCCTGCCTGAGGAGGAAGTGGCTGGGAACAGGGACTGAGGGAGGGCACCAGGAGGAGTCAGGGACTTCTCTCTCCCAGTGGGAGCTGAGGCAGGGGCAGGAGAAGGAGGAACCTGAGGTCAGGGTGCTGGGGGTGAGCCAGCTGCAGGAAGCCCCCTCCCCCGTCCCCACGTCACACCCCAGCACTCCCAGGCCTGGGTGCAGGAGAGAAAAGGGGAAGCTGGGTGCTGGTCATGGGGCAGACGCTGGGTGCCAACAGGGGGAGGGTTGGGGAGTTGGGGGCTGCTGGAGGGTCAGGGCCAGGCTGGCGCCATGCTGGCTGCTCACGGCTGCCCCTAGGTCTGGCCAAGTCTGATCCCTAAAGAACCCAGAACCTTCCCATTAGGTCTAGAGCAAGCCTGGAGGAAGAGACCCTGTGCCCTCCCTCCCCACCCCACCCCCACCCCCACCCCAGAGCAAAGGGAGCCAGCAGGGTAACCAGGGCCCTCACCTGACAGGTGTTCCCAGGCTCCCTCTGGCTGTGGGTGGGAGCAGGAAGTGGGGCAGGCAGCCTGCTTCGGTGGCCGGGTTTTGTAACATCTCTTAGAATGTCTGGCACAACTGCAAGGGCTCAAGAAATGTTAATTACCATCCTCATTATTGATATTGGTGTTAGTACGGCCCCCGTATTGAGTTCTGGGCTTGATAAAAACCCTCCCTCAGCCCTTCAGCATCAGCCTCCTGACCCAGCCTCCAACTCTGGCCAGGCCTGGGCTGTCCCCAGAAGACATCTAGTCTGACAGTCGGGACACCCAGGCACCATCCAGTCAGAACAAACGTGGCCTGTGGGCTGGGCTGAAGTCCTGGAGTCCCTTTTTAGTGTGAAGTTCAAGGGGGTCCCAAGGGGATTGGAGTGATGCAGACATTTTTTTAAAAAATATTTATTTTTTAAGTGTAGATGGACACCACACAATGCCTTTATTTTTATATGGTGCTGAGGATCAAACCCGGATCCCACCCGTGCTAAGCAAGCCACAATCCCAGCCCCTGGTGCAGACATTTATAAGACATGAGTTAACAGTATCTTTTTTTTTAATATTTATTTTTCAGTTCTCGCAGATACAACATCTTTGTTGGTATGTGGTGCTGAGGATCAAACCCGGGCCGCACGCATGCCAGGCGAGCGTGCTACCGCTTGAGCCACATCCCCAGCCCCTTAACAGTATCTTTATCAGAAAGAAGTGAAATACC